GAAGCAGATTGTGTTGGGGGTTACATGGGAAGATCTAATTTGATTCCCTGCTCCAAATGAGGTGGAGTGTCACAGACATCTTTTGTGAAAAATCCTTTCTTTAGGATTTTTCCTTCTTCTGGGAAGCTGAGGCCCCAGAAAGAGAATGTAAACAATGGTTATCTGCTGCTGTGGAATGCAACAGGTGCACCTGTGATTGGCCCATGTTGGGTGTTTACAATTAAGGGCCAATCAAAGACCAGGCTTTCTCTGGGACAGATCAGAGAGAGCTCCGTTGTTATTCATTCCTATTCTATTCTTAGCTGAGCAGCTTCTGAACTTTTCCCTCTATTCCTTTTAGTGCAGTAATAATGTAACGTATCATAAATTAACAAGTCCAGCCTTCTGATCACGACATCAGGATTCTCATCTATCTCTTCACCCCTGAAAGGCCCATTGCAAGCCCGGTAACAGTGGAGAACAGACCTGAGCACTGTGTTTGGGACCTTCCCTTGCACCACCCAGCAGCACAGCCAACAGGGATGGGATTTTGCCACACAAATTCCTGGCTCTGCACACCAAAGGCTTAAGTTATGGTGTGGCTCCCAGCAGCAGCTCATGAGCTGATCCCACTCCAACTGCAAGGTGTTACTGGGCAAAGTGCAGGAGGAAATGCTTTCAACAACTACTTTTCATTCACATACAAAACAGAAAACAGCTAAATTGGATTTTTTCCATATTTCTGCAGAAGAGAAGATAACTTGCTGTGTTTTTTTCCCATATTTGTGCTTATTTTCTAGTGCCACACAAAAAAGAAGGGTATTTTTTCCCTATTACACCAATATGTGTGAACACAGATGTTCTGCTGAGCACGATTCAGTCTGTAACATAACTCCATTTTTTGATAATAACTGTTCTTCAATTTTCCCTATCAACTTGAGTAATTTGCCACTGTCCTTACCCCATAAATCATAACAGCTTACATAATTAACTCTTGTAATTATCTCCGCACGATTAGCACCAGCTGTCTACCTAATTCATAGAACTGAAATTCTCTTTCCATTCTATGTGGATACTTGGATTCTCATTGATGAGCAGAACTTTGCCCATCCACGCTGAATTCCAGGGGTTTAACTCAGCTTTTTGCACTCCTTCCAGCTCCCCTCAGTGTTTGCAAACACCTGGGGGTGAGAGGCATTCAGGAATAAGCAGCTCCTCTCCCTAATGCAGAAATTATTGGCTGGGGTGCTACAAAATGCCAGCGCCACACCTCCCTTTTGGCTGGGAAGCACCCAGATAACTGAGGCCACACTGATTACAGCCAGGATATTTTATATTTTAATCCTTGAGGACAGCGAGCAGCCCTGATTCACATTCCTGCTGCCAAACACTGATTCCTGAACAAATCTGCATATTTATATTCCGCCCACATGATGCACCTTTAGGATGTAATTTGGAGATAGCAACACCATTGCTGCTGATTTTTATTTTTCTTATCAGTGCTCCCACCACTGCAAGAGGTTTACATCCTGGCCAATGTGATTGAATATTATATAAGGCACTTTTAAAGTTCTTCAGCAAGTATTAATTCTCAGTGGAATTTCTGACTACTTGCTATGCTATCAAAAAGAATAAAAAAATAAATAAACCACCTCACACTTACTTTCCTCCTACAAATCTTCACGAAAAACTATCAGAAATGTCTACAACAGACACACAAGCCTGAAATATGTTTTCACAAAACATATTGTTAAGAAAAAGAAGACTACAAAAACACAATTAAATGAAGAATCATGGTTATGTTCCTCCTACAAATCTTGATGAAAAATGAAGGCACCAAAACCTGCAGCATGTTTTTACTGACTCTCCCATAACTGAAACAAGAATCAATTTAAATTAAGCTAATAAAATGTCTCCCATAATACAATTTGTCTCTAATTTGTAATAAATTAGATGCAAAGGTTATTAAATTCTCCTTTTGTGACAAATTTCTCCTGTTAATTGGCACTAAAGGACTGTGATGCTATTTAGAAGCCAAATATGAATTCCAGGAATTACCTGGTAGACAGGAAAATGAGATTATGCTAATATTCCAGTCATGAAAGACAGAAGATTTCTATTCCTCAGGTTTCCCAAGGATTCACTTGCTCCTTACATTACCTTGAGGTTCCTCACACCATCCCATTGTCAACTGGTAATTCCAGGAGTTCACCATCTCCTGGAACTGGCAGCACAAGCAGCAACATCCATTACTGTCCCCTCTCTGTGCTGGCAGGATTGCAAAACCTCACTTTTAAGAATTAAACAACCCCATTCCTGAGCACGAGTTTCCAGTATCTTGTAAGGATTTGGGCAATTCCAGCTTTTGCTGAGAGAGAAAAGCTGAAGCAGGTGTTTAACTGGAGCAACTACACATTCTCTGCAAAACCATTGGCTTAATCTGACTCCTAAAAAATCTGTTCAATGCCGTCAAATGTAAGAAAATTATGAAAGTCACATTTTCAGATGTTCCTCTCAATGTGTAATTCACTGTGGGTTTTCTAACTGCACAAAAGGGCTTGGTCCCAGGCAAGTCCAACAGGCAAAGACAGCACAGAATCCACAGATTGCCATAATTTCATTTTTTATGTTACACCAAAGCACATTATGCTGTACCATTTCAAAAATTCATATCTACGCCTTGTGTTAAACATGAATTTTCTCTCATCTCTTTCTTCATTATGCATAAGAGTATTTCATGATCCCATAAGATGAAAAGAGGAACAAGAATTCCTCCCCACACAATGGCCTGATTGTGGCAGGTGACCACCTGAGGGGCCATGAACTGGGGGGCACAGCATTGTCCTGGGGGTAAGAAATGTGGGTTTGAAGTTGCTCAGGCTCAGAGAGAAGTGAACCAGGTCCTCTTCCTTCAGGGGTGACCACATTTACACCTGGGATGGTTTATAAGAAGGTTGGCTGCAACACCAGCGTGCTTGGGGCTGAGGAATGAAGCCCATGAAGAAGAATGGGACATTTTTTAACCCTGAAGGAAGATTTCAAGCTAAGTCCAAGCAAATTTGTGCTCTGTTAATCACCATGTGATGGAAGCTCCCCTCTGCTCAGAGTCCAGCATGCAAATTCTGCAAAGGGATGGGATTTCAGAAAGCTCCCTTTCACATCTCTCCCACATCTTCTAAATCTCACTCCTAGGCTTCTCTCTTCTCTTCTCCATGTGTTGAAAAGGAGAACTAATCCTGCAACTTCTGTTTATGGATTACACTCCCAGAGCTGGGTGCCTAAACGGACTTGGCACCTCCAAAATTCGAGTCTTCCAAAGCTCTAAATCAAGGATCCTTCTGGGTTTTATATAGCAGAGATTGAATTTTAATTGGAGCAACATTTGGCAAATCCTTCCTGCTTGTGATCCTGTCACTATCTTCCTTCTGTTTCTCATTGTCCAAGCGAGACAACATCACGTATCCATGTGGGAACTCAAAATGCTGAAACCACCAAAGGCAAAGTTATTTGGCTCCAAATGATCATCTCTGTGCGACTCAGCAGTGGTTTAACAGACAACAATGCACAAAACATTCCTTGAAAGAGTAAAACATGAAGTTTATCCTACCCCATCTAAACCAGAATGCTGGAATCTGCCTGATAATCAGTAAATACACATTAAATAGAGTGACCTCAAAGCAGCCAGGAATGTCAACTTCCAGTGCTGCGTTAAATGATCTTGGCAACCCCTGAGCAGTAATTGAGGATGAAGTAATTTTTTGCATTCAGTAACTTTAGTTAATTTCTCATAGTTAATAAGTTATTACTCCTGCAAGCCCCTGCTGACATCTGTTATTTTCCTTGTTAATTAAAACAGTAAATGTCACTGATGCCATCCATAAGTGCGTGTTTTTCTGCAGTTTTACCAACTTTTAATTTTGGGAAAAACTTTGTTGCGCTACTTTTGGATGTAGAAGAAGAGCCATCATCATCTCCAGTTTGCTGTCAGCATAGGAAGCCCCCCAAAAAACCTGCCCACAATCTATGTGAATGATAAATAAAAAGTACAAATCAAAGTATAAAGCAACACCTCACAACTCTAATAACTCCAATTCCTTGCAAAACTAAATACAGCAATGGTAGTCAAGTTTACAAACACATCACATGGAGTGAGATATGTAGGCAATACCTATGCATTAATATCACAAAATTAAGTCTCAAAGGGTATCAAAAATAAAAGATTGCTGCTAATATGTATTATGTGGGAGAAAATCAACAAGCAAGTTTTCATTTCCATACTCAGTTATCACCATTATCAGTCAGAAACAAAGCCACCTTGGCCTAAATATTATTAAGTGGATCCTCAAAATCTAAAAAAAAACCCCAAAAACAAAAACAACAAAACAAAAACAAATCAACAAAACTCAAGACAAGGAAAACACAGACATCTGTAGTTAAATTAGAACCAAATGCAAGTGTATTTACACTCATCTCAAAATTACCAAATCACTTGAGAGCTGTAAAGCAAAAAAAAAAAAAAGCCTAAAACCCATGTGGCATCACACTGCCTCCCAATCCACCAGCAGCCTTTATTTCTCCTGGTTCTTTAGCAGAACGGAAATAAATCCAAAGGGTCTGAGACTGATCCAAGGAAGATATTGCATTTAACCACATGAGGGCACACCACACTAGAGGAACAGAAAAGCTCCTGTGAAATCCCTGGGTTCACTGTACTTGAGTTGTTTTATTGGATCTACAGGAGAGCACGAGCCTTGGCACTGCAAACAGCACACGCCTGACAAAGGGAAATTCTTAGCTGGTATTTAATGCACTTTCTTTTTCTTTTTTCTTTTCTATTTTTTTTCTAATTTTTTTTTATTTTTTTCCTATTTTTTCTATTTTCTTTTCTATTTTTTTCTATTTTCTTTTTCTATTTTTTCTATTTTCTTTTCTATTTTTTCTAATTTTTTTTCTATTTTTTTTTCCTATTTTTTCTATTTTCTTTTCTATTTTTTTCTATTTTCTTTTNTTTTCCCACATACCTTGTTTTCGAACATCGTCTACAGCAGCAACCAACTCCTCCTTGAGATCCTGGCTCTCTTTAGCAATTTGGTCTCCTTTTTCCAAGAAGTTCTGAGTGGCCTGCTCCACTGAGGCAGCCAGAACATGAGCCTTCTTCGAGCGCCCTTTCTTCTTGCCAGACGGTCCTTTATTGCTCGTGTTCACCAGCGTCGTTACCTTTGGGCAGGAAAAACAAGCTTTTGTCAGTTTGAACAATTCTCTATTTATAGGAACACCTAATTCAATCCTCACACTATTTTCTGTGCCCTGGCAGGGAATGTAGTGGCCACATGTTTTGAATAGATAAAATTGGAAGTATAAAATCCAGCGGCACGTCCCCCAGAAGAGGGTTTTTCTTTTAACCTCTCCTCAGTCTGGGCTAAGCAAATCAAAGCCAAGCAGCAAAAAGAAAAAGATAAGAAGCAGGCATGGCAGGGCTGTGGTGCCAAAGCATCGTTTTTGTTGCTTGTTTTCATTTTTAAAAAATGAAGACACTGATAAAATGGAATCTGAACAGAGGGGTCAGAAACCACTCAAAAAGCAATTGTCCCTTGAGATAATGTACTGGCAGTGACGTGCAAGTGGTGACAAAAACATTGTGGCCATTTTCCAGACATGAAAGGTACAAAGAGCTCCCCGTGAAAAGATTATACAGGTTAAAACTCTTTGCCTTAGTGCTGCTTCACTGTATTCCCAATATTTTGTTCTAAAACCACAGCAGGCAGCGAAATGATCCTACCAGTATTTAAACAGAGGGAAACTGCTTCCATGTTTGCAGAATCTCCTGAAGGAATTCTTTATTGAGCTGTCAATAAACTGATTAGAAAGCTTAAAATCACAGCCCAGTGTGTACATCCCACAGCAGAGTGCTGGGCAAAAGGGGATCCTGCATCACTCCAGCAGGACCTGGCTGCTGCAGTGTAAAACTGGAATATTGAATTTGGTATCATCAGGTGTTAAATGCACAAACAAATGAGCAGGGATGCAGTTCTCCCTAACCAGGATACAAACCTGGGCACCTGTAGTGCTGTATGAGTGCTCTAAGCCACAAATTCACTGTAAGAAAATAAATGCCTTTGTAATAAAGACATTTCACTAAAAACCAAAAGATTCTAAAACAAGTATGAAAACTCACTGTCCTCTCATCCCTGTTACCAGAAGAGTGACAAGGTTTGTGGTACAGTTTTGACCAAAAAGCCTTTCACCATGCTCTTTGTGCTACTTTTTTTTTTTTATTTTTTTTTATTTCAGCCAATATTTTTTTCTAAATCACATCTTAAAACTGCAGACTGTGGAAGAAAATATATATGTACCTATATCTATATATATAATAAGGGCTTGAAAATACCATATACATTAATGTATTGGGAGAAAAAAAAAAAGTAATCCAGGGTCTCCTTTCAGGAAGGAGTCTTCCTGGCTACTGGAATGTAATATTCATCCATCACATGGAGAGGGGTTTTTTTTCCCACTGTTTATATCTAGAAATAATATTTTCTTTATTATTTTCTTTATTATTTTCTTTATTATTTTCTTTTCCTTGCAAATATTCCTCATGAAATTTCCTGAAGATCCTTTCATAGTTGATCATGATCGTTGGCATCTAGCTATGGACACCTACAGAAATGCAAACAATTCTAACTCACCACTAAGCCATAAGAAAAGTTTATCAGAACTTCCCAATGTGGAAAGAGTTATAAATTGAGACAAAATATTTATTACTATTTTCTGTAGGGCCTTTTTGAAATAAAAGAACTGCTTTTTGTTATGCTGCTTAATATGCAGAAATAGATCAAAATCACCTAAATTGTCTGCAAGTGCTCAAAATCTTCTCAGTTAAGAACATTGTAGAGCAGAGGAACATGTGCAGGTCCTAGGGATGAAGAGGATCCAGCACTGGAACTTTTGCTAATGCTCTCACCTGCTGAGTCCACAACTAACACAGTCCATATTTTAAATTACCAAAATCCAAATTACCACAGAAGATGGAGATTTCTTCTACCACTTCTCATAACCCACATGTAGAAAACAGCACCCCTAAAGTCAATCCTCTTTGTCAAAAGGAAATACTGGTGCATTCTGTTTGAGCCCACTTCCTTCCTTAATGTTTTGCTGCTCTTTTTTTTCTTACTTATTTTGTTTCAAACATTAAAAAAAAAAAAAGTTTCCATCATGTCAAAAGGTGGGACTCAAATATAATCATTGAAAAGTGCCAGCTAGAGAACACAAGGTCACAAATGGCACTAGAGGCTTTGTTTGGCTCAATGATGTCTAAACTGGAAGAAAAGGCTTTAAAATTTTAAACAAAATCTACTGGCATGAAATATAAAAAAAGAAAGAAGCAACATCTCACTACCCTCTGATCAACAGCATTCAGATGAAACAAGGAGAGAAATCTCCACGTGGGCTAGGATGTTCCCCTGGAAAATTAATTTCTGGATTCCAGTCCCTGCACCAACAGGTTGGGTTCTGGGTAATACAGAGATCTCATAGGAAGAAAGCAACTCATAAAAACTGGAATATTGCCATTTTACCCACCTGTGTCAGCTTCTTTAAATTACATTAAATTACAAGTTAGGAGGCTAAAAAAGCAGTCTCTTCCAAAATTAGAATTCCTGTTTCACAAAGTCAGCTGTACTGGGACAGAGCAAAGGGGAAGGAAGGCTTCTGATACCAGTGACAGAAAAATCCATGGCATCCAAGCTTCCTTCCTATTTTTAAAAATCCAATAACCTATGAATTTAGATAAATTGCATGAAAAAAAATGAAGGAAAAATAATAATAACCTTTTATCTTATTAAAATAGCTTGGTTTTTCAGCAGGGCTTTCAAGCTAACTGGTTTATTTTAAATATCTTGCCCCACCCAAAGTGGTACAAAGGAAAGAATGTCTCTATCAGTTTCTGTCACTAATTAATGCAGAAGTCACCCAAAATTCTGTACAATTATCAAATATATCACTTGATAATTACCATAAGCTCATTTGGCAGCCTTGTAATGATCCTGGCTTTGTGATCACACTAGGGAACCTTGCTCTCTTATTTTATTAAAGAAGCTTCACACAGTCCTAGCACAGATCTCTGCTGGAATAACAGAACTTCACTAATTAATAGTTCAGCCCCATCCTGAATTAAGTCCTCCTTACCCAGCTCCAGCAGCACAAAAGAAAGGTGAGGGCATCTTTGCTAAAAGCAGAAAATTCTATTAGCATGGATTTCCCCACGGCAGAGGTCAGGTGTGGGCAGGGAATGGCACAAGCGAAAGGGGACAGAGCTGGATCACACACTCATCAAACAATCCCCTGACAGCAGCTCCAGCTCACACAAGGACATTCCTGGCTCTCTGAATTCAACTGTCTTCCCTACAGATTGCTGGAAGGGGTGGGCCACAAGTTTCAGAGTTGTAATTCTCCCTTTTTGCCTTCTCTTTGCTCAGTATCTGTGGGATCTCAGCACCTCAGGACTGAGGTGCCGGGTCACCGAGACCACCCTTGGGGGGCTCGGGAGTCCTGGGATGTTCCAGAAGTGTCTGGTGGCTGGACTTTGATCCTACACAGGAGATGACACCTGTATGAGGATAGGAGGGTTTCACCGGGGTGAATGGTGAAGGGATTAGTTAATTAGAGAGTGAGACACAGGGTTTAGGATTTCTGTACAGGGGGGTTTAGAGAAGTAAGATGGAGGAATTGGG